TTCTGCGCAGTATAGTTTGATTGTCTATCTATACTATTATAAAAAAGAGGTGGTTGCTGTATGTGTGTATGTGTGTATGGGAAAAGTTAACTCGAAAAATATACAGTGGCTCTGTAGTTCCCCATGTCAACCTTATGAGTATAGGCTGTTTCAAAGTTGGTTCTATGATATATGCGAAAGTATTAAAAAGTTATAAGATTTACCAACAGAGTGCAGCACTATTATTTTTTGCATTTATGAAAACAGCTAATTTGAACTAAGCAGCAACAAAAAACTGTGATAGGCAAAGAGAACTGTCAAAGTAGGATTGGTTACAGTTATGTTTATGTTTTTAATTGCATGTATAATTTGTGATATTTTGCGAATTTTTAACAATTTATTTTTTTCTATTGTTTAGGTGAAGTGGTAGAATATTATGCCTATTGTAGATGTGCAATACTATAGTATACCGTAAATTTAAAGAAGCAAATTTGGTCAAATTGTGTCCTCTCCCCCATTCCAAACGCTAAGTTAGAGTATAACTGCAATAAGGATTTTATACTTATATGCCAACCCCGTACGAAGGACGGGTACTCTGCTAGTTATTTTATATACTGGATGAGAATGGAATAATAGAATTACTCTTGAGGTATAGATAAAATGTTTGATTATAGGGTCTAAAAGAATAATTAGGTGAAACTAGGCTTCTTCGGAAGCAATGGTTCGCAACTTGGATATTGTAATTCCATGGCTCTGATGAAGGATATGATAAGCTTGACGGATTCAAACCCGAGTGATAAACAATGAGTACAGATAAAAAGGTTTACCTTTTTAACCTGTCAATGGTAGTTTTTTAGCCTGAGGTTTCAAACCTAGGTCCACTTTCAAGCTGTCTACCAGTTTGAAGAAATCCTCTTCAACCCTGGGGTTGTGTTGAGTTGTCAAATGCATTTAAAACTTACACCGAGACGAAAAAAATTAACCAAAACTTGGCAAAATTTCGTAGCTAAATATTTTTGTTTTAAATGTAAAATTTGGTACTTATTTACCAAACAGTTCTGATTCCTGTGACCCATTATACTGAACACATTGGGTAGTCCTAATGTGCAATAGGTGGGAATATCCTCTTCAAAGCTGTACGATCAATTACCATTATTCCATTATTCTTCCACTCTTATTCACGATAAATTAAGATTTCAAAACACGATCTCTCTTTAGTTATTCAATCTATTGTTTTAACACGGTAAAACCTCATAAATGAACCACTCAAATGATTGAGAGGGTTTTTGTCCCTTTGATCATCTGCAGGTGTGATGTAGTGCCCTCTCGAGAGCAGGTTTCTCCTCAGTTCTACAGGTCCAAGGTCGAGATGATAACACATGCTCTACACGTATTGGGCTCATTGAGCCACTCTGCCTGATTCGGCCTCGGCGGTTTTCTAGTCCAAGATCATTTTAAAATCTAGATGTAAAAGACTTTTGCAAATCGGGATTATTTAATTTTTAATTTAAGTTGAAAGCAGTAACGATTTAGGCTACATTTGTATACGTACAGTACGTCGAGTTTAAGATTTTTCTAAATTTTACCATAAGTACATACTTTTTCATAAAAATAGTATGACCTTATAGTAAGCAGACGTAGTAAATGGGAAACATACCACAGAGCCTACCAGCGAGCGTCAAGTGAAAATAACCAGACTGGGTACATTTTTGGATTGTCGAAAAGTTCATTATACCATTGACTACACCTCTATAAGTAGACCAAGTATATTTATTTATTGTAAAATCGTTAATCCGTTTTTGTTGTTGTCCGAATACGTTTGCGAATGCTTATGTTAGCTAAATTATTTTTGGAGTGTAAATGAAATATAGTGTGGATGTCTACCACTAAAATTCCAGAAGATACGATATTTTTATAAGCAAAATCGTTTTTACATAGTAAAAAAGTGTTCTAATGCCTGGTGTGAAATAAAACAATTAGTAGTTACCAACAATCGTCTCACTAGTATATACACTGTACCGCACAGAAAAATGTTATGAAGGGGAATTTTAGAATCCAGTTTCCACATAAGGATGGCAAAGCTATAAGAAATACTGTACGTGTTTAATCCATTGTAGAAGTTTATAATCAACAATAAATTTGTATTATAAACCAACAAACAACCATGCTATGATTCCAACTACTAATCCCCAAGTTTGGACATTCTTACCTTCAAACCATTTGAAAACGAGATATTTTATTTCCCTGTATGCATAAACATATTTTCTCAACATATTTACAAAAATCGTTAGTTCATACCGCATTTTTAGAATAGTTCTCTCTAACTATATCTAACCGTGTCGGAGACGAATTAGATCAGCTGTTTGTTCACAAGTGTCAGTTACCTAACAGATGTCTACCTGTTATGATGCCACCATTTACAGATAAGAGTACAGCCAGTGCAGTTGTAAACAGATCTAAACTCACGTTAAACCTTGTATTTTTATAGTTGGTGGATTATATAGCTCGTCTTCAATCTGAAGACTGCTGGTCCGATCCCAAGCGAAGTCGATTTCAGACCATGGCATTTGTCATTAGGCCACCAATAAACGATATTAAAGAAAATTTGTTGGTGTCTGCATCCAGACTATTTAGTTGGTTATTCACATTCGAATTTAATAAAACGTAATTTCACCACAATCAATTGAGACGTTTTTATCCGGTAGACGATGCAATTTGCCCAATAAGAGGAAATAACATGGCTTGATGTGGAGAAACGAGAAAGTTATTTTTTGGCCAACCTCGTTCATGATATCTGCTAGACAATAATTTTGATTGTAGGTCAAAATATCTATTCAGATAAACTCTGCAAAATTTAGGAATACGACTTAACTTTAGCATGTGGTACCAACACAGGTAGAGCAATGCACGTTGAGAAACAGTGAGATTGTACTACACTTTTGTAGACTCTCTGTATTGTTTGTCAAGTTATTATACATCGATGGTCATGAACGGCCTTGCCACAATTCACTGTAAAACTAAACCTTATGCCTATATAGCGCTGAGTAGCATAACCAACATACATCAAAGTTTACAATGTTTACAGTAGAAAAAGAAGACTACAAACAAAAACCAAATTAGTTATTCTAATATCAACAATTTAGAAAATAGTTTATCACTAAAACAAAAGTCCAATTGTGCCATATTACAAACAATGTATCACTTAGGCATTGTCAGAAAATACGTTGTCGCGACAAGTTAAGATATATCGCTCATTGATCAATGGCCACTTGAATTATCTTTCAATAGCTTTCGAATCAGCAGCAATAAATATAGATTATGTAAAATCATTCTAATTTGATCGATTGTTCAAAAACGCATTAAGGTATTTTATCGGTGCTGACAAAGTAAACGATTTCGCGAAGATTGTCCGAAAATTTTGTAGTCGATGGTAACTGCCTAGATGTTAAATATTTGTTTTTAAGTAACATTAGTGATACGATCGTAAAATGTTATCAGTCAATTTATAAGTCATAGGTCAAGCACTCGAGTCTTGGGTAAGTAATGCATCTGGTGACTTACCTTAGAAATACGGCGTAAAGACATTACTATGCTTACAGTTTGCATTGATTTGCCTTTATTTTCTACGCATTTTAAAGACAATGCACACGCAATGTATGTTGATGTTTTTTAAGGGCAATGCTCTTTAGGAGTTTTTACATTACCCTAAATTAAGCCTTTGCTTACATTATCCTAAATATACTGTACCTCTAAACTACTGTTGTTTCAGTGAAAAAAAAACTTGATTTAATTAATGTTAAATTTTGTTAACTACAACGTATACATTCTTATAAATATATCACCAAGTCGAATTTCAATGGTAACACTGGGCATGATTAAACATTGGAATTAATTTTCCTACTTTAAGTAAAATCCCCCTTTGATTTTTATAACACGATAAATATATGCATTTCCACAATAATTGTGAATATCATTGTTTTATAAAGAAAATTAAATTTAATTTTATTATAGTTGCATCTCTGAGATCACATGTTTATTTTTTTTTTATGGACTTTTCAAATTCAAATTTACTTCAATATTTACAGTAGGATTACTATATTCTTAGTTTTAATGACATTTATATTCAAACAATCAGGATATGTTATGTTATGTTATGTAATGTGGATATGTTACAAAACAACATTTTTATTGAAGTCGTGATGAACCCTTCTAAATTAGAACTGCAGTTTTATATTTTATAGTGCACTAAAGGTATATGGTGTTTATAAAACACTTTAAATTTTACTGTCGCTTAATACTGTAATTATTTGTTTCTGTCACAAGTTGAAAGCAATTGACCCATGTAATATTTCTTGTTTCATACAAATTCTACTGAAAATTTTTTTCTGAATTTATTTTACAATCTGTTTAATCAACTTTTAGAACAATAAGTAAAATACTTTTAAAAAAATTGGTTGGGAGCAAGCACAATCGACATGCTTTGCCAAAATAGTTGATAATTTCATCGAATCTGAATTTTAGGTCCAACACGTGAAAAACACTTTTCAATCTGTAAACACATTCACTGTTGTCCAGCTGATCGACAGCTAGACTGTTTGGGTGATCTTAAAGTGTTTCTTGATATTGTTTGCTGTGGCCAGAAATATCTTCTTTGATTGATTTAATTTTGAAATCGTTTCTAATTGTAGCGTTAGATATGAAATTACATGATGCATTAAACAATTAAATTGAACAGAGTGAACTGAATGTGTGTTTTTCAATGATTACTTACACATTGTTTGCATTTTGCAGGTGTCTTTTTACTCTACAAACTCTCACAGGTTGACAGAAAGCAAAAAGAATATTTTTTACAACTTTTTGGTTCTTTTTGGGGGAAGTATGTAAGCTTATGCAGGCTTGTGTAGTCATTGATAGTAGAAAATATGTTAAATTCTAAACCAAACGTTACCAGCATGAAACATATAAAAGGTCGAATAGTTTACAATAGTCTACTAACTAATGTCAATATATTATTTACTCACCGAAAGTAGTGCAAGCGATATCCACGAGTATACCTCTGTTGCGGTGGAACGTAGCCATGCCTGTACGTATGTACGTACACGTACGTACGTCCCTGGTGTACGTGTACGTAGGAACACAGCCCGCGCGCGACTGACTGAAGCTGCTAGAGCAGTGATTGGGAAGTGGGTGGGGAGCGCTTCATTCTCAATTGATTAATTGTCCGCTTAGAGATTAATTCCGGTTTAATTAATTGGATGCATTAAATAATTAAAGGTTTGGACCATTTCCTTACAGGCGGGAAAAACGTCTAAGTAAAAACACAGAGTTTGAGGCAAATATTGGATTTTGTATCAATAGGGATGTTTTATTTATTTATGTAAACATTTATCGTATCCGAAAATATAGTGGAGTGTGGATTGCTCAACGGGTAGGCCTTATCAAAATATTGTCAATTTACAATTTTTACTTCATCAATTAGTACATCAATTCCTATAATAGATAACAAATTGTACAATTATACTAAACGAAAAAAAATTATAAACTTGCTTATTTCTTTACAAAATGCTTTTCGTTTACAGAATATAATGTGTTTGTGACGATGTTTGTACACAAAATAATTTCTCATACGGATGTATAGAGATTTCTGCTCTACATTTTTCTAGCTATAAATGTAACGAAAATAAAAAAAAATTATTCCAATCACTTTACGTAAGTTATTTCTTTTTTTAAGATATACAAATTGTAGTATTTAAACTAAATTTTTTACAAAAATCTATTTACAAAGAAAATATACATAGTCATTTCGTTTAGAATAACCCCAATGGTATAAAAATACGTTTACTCGCCTTAGCTTTTTGTGGGATTCTGATATATTATCGACAAAGATAAAAATCAAATATATTGCGTACATAAATGGAGAGTTGTTATGTTAGTAGGCCTATACCTTGAGTTGACTGACAGATTGACAGACTGATTGATGTTCTACCAAAGATCATTAGCTAAGAGACCAACGACCGATCACATTTGTTCAACACATTTACACCTACACAAAACCATCGAATTTTGATATCACAAGTAGACTAACATCTTAACTTGTGTCAAAATATAAACTCTGTTTTGTATGTTTGTGTCATGTCTGGCCCACTTGGGTGTGCTAATCCATATAATTATTACAATTTAATTGTTGACAATGTTCAGTAACTGTATTTTAATTTTGAATCTTTCACATGTAAAAAAAAATTACTGTATCAAATTATATATTTTTAAAATAATACTACGAGTAATGATTAATTCGGTCTTATCGGTTTTTCATTGTGCAAAACCTCTGGACTAAGTCAGGTGGAATTTTAGACAAAATAACCATGCCTCAGAAAGTCATGCGGTATAGCAAATTTTGAATTTTTTACCCAGGAAGATGTTCTGAGCGGGCTTTGAGAAGTAAAATACTCTTGGTATTTGGGGCAGCAAAGTGAAAAATATCAACTTTATATTTGTTTTGTTTACTTGCCTCAAATGGTACTGATCACAAATATTACCTATATCCGAAACATTGATTCGAAACAATCAAGCTTGATAATTTTACACTTCTCAATAAGTTGATGCTGACTTTATGATTTTATCGATTATAGAAACTACTTCATGATATACTAACAACTAACACTGATGATGTAATACATTTATCTTGCGATAGCATACCTAAGCACCGAAATGATAAGTTATAATTTTTAGCTACCCCTGTCGTAAAATGTACTATACATATTACAGAATAAAAAAATAAACAAAAATATATTCAAAAAACAGTTAGAGAAAACATGAAAGTTACAGACTGTTAGTTTTGTATTGTTGCATTCAATCTTCATGAATATTCATTCATATGAAGTTGTTGTTTTGTGATTTACATAGCAACGTTTCAATAACAACCTTCTGTCAGTGACAAACGGCAGGAATACGTAAGTATTTTCCTAAATCAACCACAGATTTGATAGGTACTTCATAAGTATTAAAACTGTTGATTGTAGTTTTCTTAAAAGTTCATGAGTACTTTGGGATTTATATATGGATTTGGTTGTCCCTGTTCTGTCTCCATGTGATGATAAAGAGGATAAGAAAGAGAAAAGATGCTATGTTTTTAGTATAGCTTGAAAATCAAAACCTTAACCATTGTGAACTATCAAATTTCAAGTAAAAATTACTGCACATTTTAAATGTCGATGTGTATTTTCCTCACAATCAACAAATCAAATTCTCTGAAGCTGAAAATATTTATGACAACTTTAAAGAAATTCATCCCACACATACACAAACACACATGCTCTTAATCAAAACTTGAACGCCACACACATTATAATCAACAAGCGGTGTGTCTATTTTCATTACACATGCTGAGGTGACCAACTCTTCCACTAGAATAAAAAATGAGATGACAAGGGCACAAGCAGATTAGGATCACGTTTCAGAAATACCGACAGCATTCTGATGTAAATTCAGCGGTCTAGCTTCTACCTTCTACCGACCACCCGGTTCCGATTAACACGGAAGCCTACGCTTTCAGGTGCGACGGGAATAATGATGTCAATCTGAGATTGGAAACCGAAAGAATGTGTGGGGAGAGAGTGACGAGGTGGTTTTGGATTTTGGGTGGTTGAGCAACAATAAGGAGACCGTTGGCTCTATTCTGAGAAAATTTAGTAGCTTTTTGATGGTTTGATACTGGACAAAGCTGTCTTTATTCGTTGGTATTCAAAGTGGTCTTGGATAAACAACAGCTTATCTAAGTCAGTAGCAAAATTTTCACTGATCATCGACTTAATTATATGTCTTTCTTATTATAGCCATTGAATATACGATACTGAATTAGACATCTAATTTATTGGCATTTTTTTTATAAATAAGAACATAGTTGTGTGAGCCAGTCACGGGGTCACGGAATGTGCATGAGTCCATTTTCTACATTTTTTTTGCTGACATAGTTTATGGGTCTTAACAATTGCTATAGCTCATAATAAGTATTTCAATAAGCTTAATTGGTAAAAATGTTCATGTATGCGACAGAAATCAGTAATACATACATCACCGTAGTCTGTCGGTGGCTCACATCAACTATGACGGTTTTTATTTTAAAACTGGCTACAACCATTACTTTTACATAGGGATGGAATGTCTAGCTGTATTAATATAGTCGAAAATATTTTTTCCAAATAGTTTCTGTCCTAATTACGAAAATTATGAATGACCAGAGAAAATTACCCAGTGATACAATACAAATATTGATACAGTTTTGACTATTGGCACTATCGTTGGTTATCATTGTCATGTAAACCGAGTAGTCACTGTTGTGTCAATATATCTGACTTAGGCTATAATAGATTAAATATTTTTATTGGTTCAGCAGATGAAGATTTATTTCCAGTGGATACAGGGGTTGATTCAATGTTTACGCTTTATTTATTGTCATTTTGCAAACTTTTATAATTATTTAGACGAAATGAATTTATCTATTTGCACAATATTGCTAGTCCTATGATGATATGAGAATAAAACATTCTTGAAAACCCTGCAAAAAAGGAAAACGTTTTATACGTTTCAAACGTTTTTGACTGGACATTAAAATCTACAATAGGACGGGAAGTACCGTTGTAGAATCCTAAATCAACACTTAAAAATTTTCTTCTGGCAATTTGCCAAAAATATTTTTCGAAGCATAATTGGAGCATGATTGGATTACTTCGGTGGCTTTCTGACACGTTGATATTATAGCAACAGGAGATTGGTACATTTTATTTTATTGCCATTTACGACATTTCTTTAGTTTTAACATACTCCAATAATAAAAATCACTCTTTTAGGTTGAACATTGTATACTTTCCGATTGGAAGCCAAAATCGATATTGTTCATAGAGTAATACAGTAGCTGTGAGAAGAGAGTTTGTTTCGAAACAGGAAGATCGTAAACCGAAGACTCAGACATCAGAAAAACAACTTTTTACAAAGCCGCCATGCCCCAAATAAAAGCGAGGAGAGGGTCCTTTTATTTTACGAACGAGGGCTAATTATGTTTGAGCCGCCCCTCAAACGTTTTCTTTGAAAGAGGCTGCGATGATAATGATCACCTAAACAGTGACTTGGCGTAAATTATCTGGTGTTACCGTCCCCGTCCGCCCCTCTTCTCAAACCATAAGTCTGTGTAACTATTGTTGCATTAAGAAACTAAAAATACTCCGAAAATGTATTTTAACTTTAGTAAATTTTTTTCGTGATGAATTTAATGAGAAATCATTGTCACGCAAATATGGAGATTTCATGGACTCATTGTCCTTGGCGAATGAATTAAAAAAACTATGTTTAACGGGGAATAAAAACAAGAGATATTAACTTTTGTTTGTAGGTTAATAGTAACACGATCAAACTGAAATATTCCTTCCAAATAAAAATCTACGTATCCTATTTATGTAGTTGTGTGAAAAATGTTGCACATCAAAATACATTTCGGGAAATGGATCTATTTCTCAGTGAATCGAGATGATTCTACCATACATAAAAGGAGTAGACACTCCCTTTATCTATGCTTCTACGTTGGCGGCGTTCCCCAACACTTTCATTATTGATTTAAACAAACTTTTATGTTTCTGATGATTTCAAAATGAATATAAAATATGTTTATTGCGATACAAATGTGAAATAAGTATTTTCACAAGTATTTAAACACACGGAGAATGTGTTGCACCTTTTAAGGCATCCGATTTATTATTGAAGAAGACGATAGTTTTGCAATCTACCAAATATATAATGAACCGTAATGTAACTGTACTCTACATGAAATATGTTTCACAATTAAACGCAATAGTACCTAGGGCCGAAAAGTCTCGAACTTAAAAACTATCTCGAGCTGCAAAACCATTTCGGTCCGTGGTACGAACGCTATTTTTCACCACACTATACCCTATTACCACTATTCACCACTATTCACCACTATAATAATGCACACTGATAGTCAACACAACTACAACTTTAAGGTTAGCCTATGTGAAGAAATAATTTGAGGAATCAGCCAAAATAAAAATAAATAGTTGCTAGGCAACGGTGACAATAACACAATTCTATTGCAAATGCTACGGATTTTGATTGTGTATTAGAATCACTGA